CAAGGGATCTGTGGAGGTGAGAGGGAGGGTGGGAAGTGGGGGGAGTCAGAGCCCTTACCACGTTGCCCACAGACCCATGGCATTATCCTCTAAACCCCTCCTATCCAATCTCAGGTACAGATACTTCGTCTCCTTCGGATCCTGGGACGGAACCATGAAGAGAGCAGTGAGACCATGAATGACCTGCTGGCCCAGGTGAGAGGCACCCCTTAGGCATGTGGTTTCTTAGGGTCCCTCAGCCCTGAACTTCCTCACATGACCTTTATCGTGCAGAGGTCATATAATTGCCTTTCTGTCCCCCCAAACCAATGACTTCCATGAAGGAAGGGTATAGTGTGTCATTATGGTATTGTCCCAGTGTGTAGGCGGGTCCTAACACAGTGGAGTCCAGGGAACTTCGTTAGGGGCTGAAGGAGTCTAGAAATCACAGGGAGACTCGAGCCCTGTACTGATGTGCCTCTCCCGCCATCCACATAGGTTGCCACCAACACAGACACCAGCCGAAATGCAGGCAATGCTGTCCTGTTGGAGACAGTGCTGACCATCATGGACATCCACTCTGCAGCGGGCCTCCGGGTACCATGATATCCCCATGTGCTCTCCAGCTGTGGCTCCACCTGCCCAGCTGGTCCTGGTCACTGGCTTCTCCGCAACGCCCATCATGGAGGAGATCCCACTGAACGAGTGGCTTCGTCTCTGACTGCCTCCACCTTCTTCTTCCCATAGGTTCTAGCTGTTAACATTCTTGGCCGTTTCTTGCTCAACAATGACAAGAATATTAGGTAACAACCCCCAGTGTCTGGCTAGACTGTCACACTGTACATCTGGCCTTCTGCATTCCTCCATCTTGGCCCACCTAACTCTTAACACAGGGTGCCCAGGCAGATGACCTCACGTGGCATGGTCTCTCTTACTCTGACCAGGTATGTGGCACTAACGTCGTTGCTCCGGCTGGTGCAGTCCGACCACAGTGCTGTGCAGCGTCATCGGTCCACTGTGGTAGAATGTCTCCAGGAAACCGATGCCTCCCTCAGCAGGTAAGCAGAGGGAGAAGGGGACAGAGCGGAGGACACAGTGCCGGGTGGCCCAAGTGCAAAGCAGCTGGAGCGAGAACTAAAGGACAAGGTGCCTGAGGTCAATGGAGCTGGAGCAGGGTAACCTGGGCCATCTGCCTGGACGCCTCTCTCCTGCCAGGCGGGCCCTGGAGCTGAGCCTGGCTCTGGTGAACAGTTCCAATGTGCGAGCCATGATGCGGGAGCTCCAGGCCTTTCTGGAATCCTGCCCCCCTGATCTTCGGGCTGACTGTGCTTCCGGCATCCTGTTGGCTGCGGAGAGGTGAGATGACAAATACCTAGGAGTCAGAGGGTGCGGCCTGGGGAGGGATGCTGAAACGACTGATGAGTCTCACGTCCCCTAGGTTTGCTCCAAGCAAGCGGTGGCACATAGACACCATCCTGCACGTGCTGACCACGGTGAGATGGGGTGGTCAGGGAGTTGGGGAGGAGCGGGCAGAGCTCACTGCTCTGACTTGGCCACATCTCCCCCTCTCCAGGCAGGCACCTATGTGAGGGATGACGCAGTGGCCAACCTGACCCAGCTGATTGGGGAGGCCCAGGAGCTTCACGCCTACTCTGTGCGCTGCCTCTACCATGCCTTAGCAGAAGACATCTCCCAGGTCTCACTCCCCTTGCCCAGCTTCGGCTCACCAGCCTTTCCAACACTAGAATTTGAATGGTTTTCCCCCCAGAATAGCAGCCAGAAGCTGGTTGAGGACAAAGCCCACCTCTTGCTTAGGCTTCTGTCCTGGCCCTGGTGCCTACCGACTGCAACTCCAGATACAACTTTCTTCAGGCGAATGCCGACCTCCCAGGCAGTCTCCAGGAGCAAATGAGATGTAGGAAAGCTTGGTGCATACATTCATTTCTGTTATTACCTCCAATGCTGAGTGGATTAACAGGTGCCAGCTGATATCTATAACTCCCCTCTGTCAACTTAAATAGAGTGGACAGAAAGCATCCCAGTTTTCTTAGGAAAGAGCCTCTCAGGGCTCCATCCTGTGACCAGGCCATGTAGTTTCGGTGCTTGCCCACCAGAGGGCAGTAGGAACCAAAATGCCAAGACAGCCTGCTAACGAGCTTAACCCTTTCCTGCCAACCCCACAATCTTGGCACTGCAGTGAAAGGACATTGTAGGGTCTAGAAGAGAGGAGGCCCCCCAACTAGCTCAGCCGTGCCTCTTTCCCCACGCAGCAACCGCTGGCTCAGGTGGCAGCCTGGTGCATCGGCGAGTATGGGGACCTCTTACTTGAGGGTAACTGTGAGGAAACCGAGCCTCTTCAGGTGAGAGCCGAGGAGTGGGAGGTACACTGGAGAGGACTCCTCGGGACAGACGTGGCCTGTGGGCATGACCTGGTGTCCACTCCTGAAGGTGGAAGAGGAAGAGGTGCTGGCGCTGCTGGAGAAAGTACTGCAGTCCCACCTGTCCCTGCCAGCCACCCGAGCCTATGCTCTCACAGCCCTCATGAAGCTCAGCACCCGGCTGCCGGGAGGTAACAAGTAAGAAGGAAGTCCCAGGCCTTGAAAGATGTCCCTTCATTGTGGCTACTAATCTTTGAACTCTCCGGGCACAGGCCCCTCTCTCCAGCCCTTCTAGTCCTTAGGAATCTGCTTCTGAGCCACATATATTAGCTGTCTCCTTACTCTGTGAGGCTTCCGCTTTCTCTCTCGTCCTGGAGGGGAAGAGCAAGCCAACTGCCATTGTTGCTCACAGGCCACACTGTGGCCCAGTCGTATCCGCCAGGTGGTCTCCATCTATGGGAGCTGTGTGGACATAGAGCTTCAACAGCGGGCTGTGGAGTATAACGTGCTCTTCCAGAAATATGACCACATGAGGTATGTGAGCTTCAAACTCCGTGCTCCCCAAGTGCTCCCTTCTAGATAGCCTTGCTCTCTGTGGTGAGCACCTCCCATCCATAGCTGACATTGATCTGGTTCCCAGTCCTCACTGGTTGTCTAGAGACCAGCAGCAGAGCACTGTCTTAGGAAACCAGAATAGCACTTGCGACCCTGCATGTGACCCTGCATGCCCAGGGCCCTCTTCTTCTGTCCTCAGTCCTTTACCCAAATGCTTCTGTGCAAGCACAGGGCTCACACAGAGGGACCCTTGCATTCCATCCTCTCAGGGCTGCCGTCCTGGAAAAGATGCCTCTCGTGGAGCGCAGTGACCCTCACGTCGATGAAGAAGGAAAGGAACAGAAAGCGGGGGCCCAGCTCTTGGAAGCGTCAGCCCCTGTCCCCACAGAGCCCCAGGTGAGGAGGCTGGAAGACCTGAGTAAAGAGGACTTCTGTGGGTGTCCACGCCCTGACGTGACCCTCCTGCCCTTCTGTCCAGGCCACTAAGCTCATGGATCTGCTCGATCTCCTGGATGACACTCCTGGCCATGCTCAGCACCTTCCTCCTCTCGATCCTTCCCCCGGGGAGACCCTGGTCCACCTCCTGGACCTTCCCTGTGCACCTCCAGCCCCTGGTAAGGCTCAGCAAAGGGAGTACATTAGAGAGGGTAGCTGGAAATGTGTCACTCTCTGTCTGAGCCAAGGAAAGAGACACCATCTCAGTAGGCAAAGGTTTCATTCCATGCCAGTTCTGTCTTGGTTCTCTATAACGACCTTCTTTGTCGTAGCTCTTACCCCAGTCTGCAGGCCTATTTCCGCTCCAGGCTGTATCATATCCCACTACCCACTCCACTGGCCCCTTCACCCCCCAAATTCTTCCACCTCAAACACTTGACATTTCATGCTTTCCCCAGCACCTCAAATGACTAGCTCACGCTCACTCTTGGGGCTTCAGTTAAATGTCAGCCGCCTCATCCTTTCTCTCCTGCTTAACTTGGTTCTCCCCAGTTACTTTTGACTTCTTGTTTCTAAATCATGGCGAGGATTATCTTGCGCTTCGTTGTCCTGTCGTGTCCGCATCCCAGCACTGGGTGGTCAGCTCTCACCTCAGCTTGTCTAGTCTCCCATTAGAAATGGGGCAGTGCAGAGCCAAGATTCGCTTGCTCCATTTTGGTCGGGTGAGTGGCTAGCTGTGCTGTGATAAGCCTGAGCACTGAGCTGCCCCTCTCCCTTGTCCAGCTCCCATCCCTGGTCTCAAAGTGTTCGAGCGTGAAGGCGTCCGACTGGACCTGTCCTTTGTGCGGCCACTGGAAACCCCAGCCTTGCTCTTAGTCACCGCCACAACCACCAACTCCTCAAGGGAGGACGTTACCCACTTTGTTTGCCAGGCAGCTGTGCCCAAGGTTTGAAAAAATGGGGTTCAGCCATGTGTGGTAGCTCATGCCTGTAATTCTAGAACTTGGGAAGTTGAGGCAGGGGAATCACAGTTTGAGGCCAACCTGGGCTACATAGTGAGTTTGAAGCCAAGTTGGGCTACTTTGTCAGAAAGAAAGAAGAAAAAATTAGGGTTCAGAGGTAGTACAGGCACTCTGGGAGAAAAGGCCAGAAAGTAGTAGAGGTGGGTGGGAGGTGGAGTGAAGCAGGAAAGGGGTGATGTGGACAGCCATTGTCTGGGAGCCACTGAGTGTGGAGGACTGCCTGAGCCCAACCAGAGGTCCTACTACGCTCTGCCCAAACCTCCCATTTTTAGAGTTTCCAGCTGCAACTACAGGCCCCCAGTGGGGACACAATTCCAGCTCAGGGTGGCCTTCCTATCACCCAGCTCTTCAGAATCCTCAATCCAAACAAGGTGAGTTGTTGGACCCTGCGGACAAGAGACATGGGGACAATCTGGGACCTAACCCTGGTCTCTGCTTTGTTTGTAGGCAATGTTGAGGCTAAAGCTGCGCCTCACCTACAACCACTTTGGCCAACCAGTACAGGAGATCTTCGAGGTGGATAACTTGCCTGTGGAGACGTGGCAGTAACTTGTTGTGGCCTGTGTCTGACCTGCGTGTTGCCAGGCTCTTGGTATCTTATTCGAGGAATGGAAATAAAGGCACTCATAAATTGCAAATAGCAAGGAAACTTTATTCAAAAGCGGTGGTGGTACCAATCATAAATACATTGCGAAGAGCAATGCCCACAGTACTCAAGGGCCCAGAGTTATTGCCTGGTGCTTCTTTAATGGGGTCTTAGGGGAAGGAGTTCATTGCTAAGTGGCATAATTTGAGTGGTTCTCTATTTTGACTGACAGGCTTGGATTCTGTAAGCTTTTCCTCACTGTGCATGATCCTTCCCATGATGCATCTGGTTTTTAATCATATGCTCATTCGTCATAGGCACAGGATGGTAAATAGGGGATTCTCCTTAAAAGTTCACCCAAAGGACAGTCTCCCTTACTCTGCTTGACTCAAAACCCATCTAGGCCCAATCAGCTCCCTGCTTTCTGCACGCAGATATGTTCTAAAATGTTTGAATGAAAACTGTCCGCAAAGGGGAGTTTTTGATGGCTGCTGTGGGAGGAGAGACTTTTTCCATTGTCCGAAGGGGGACGTACATGCCACTCAGTAGAGTTGCAGTGGGGGTCCTAGGTGCGCGCTGTAATTAGGATGTGTGGACTTAGTGAGGATCCTAGGGTGCCAAGTGCATCCCCTGTCAGATGAGAGGTGTGCACAGCTCAAACCAAGTGGAGTTCTAGGTTGTTAAAATGTTGTGTAACTGCCTCAGCTCACCTGAAATCCGTCTGCACCCTCAGCTGGGAACAAAAGCCCTGAGGGCTAACAGCAGGTGGCACTCTGGCCCTGTGTTGGTCTCCACAGTCTGAGAGACTGAAAGCCTATGAAACCTGAGCGGGGCAGAAAGGCGTGTTTTGACCTAGTGAGAAAGAAAATGTGTAGGAGCGAGGGTATGAGCCTTCTCCACAGGATGTATGACTTCCTGAAACCCCAGGAACCTGTCTCAACAATGGTTTTCTTTCTCCCCATCTCTGGGTTGGAGAGCAAATTTGTCTCTAAACTGCCACCTAGGGCACTCTACCCTCTGGGCACAGTGGCAGACCCAGCAGAATTCTAGATTTCTAACAGGAGTTCCCAGCCGTGTTTCCCTGCCTTGTTGCTATTCCCTACCCCTTAAGGCAGGGGAATCCCTGCTGCTTCCCGCATCTCTAACTCAGCTGTAAGGCGGCTTCAGAGCTGCTGGCAGAATCAATGGCATCGACCACGGGAGGGGGGGGTGGCAAGGGATTTTCCTGTGCTTAACTACTGATCACAGCTAAGTGGAAATCCTATAAACACGAGCGGAAATCAATGGAGGCTGCTTAGCGGCCAGGGGAGAGGGGCGGCCCACAGATTGCATCTGACGGATGAGGGAAGCAGTGAGGGAGGGCTCGAAAGAAGGGCAGCTGAGGATGGGTGAAAGACCAGGCGTTTCGGGGACAAAAGTGGCCCTGTTGGAAGGGAAGGGCACGGTGGGTCCAGGTGTGGATGGCAGCTTCAGAGTTCCCTTCCCTTACAGAGAGTGAACCCTGCTCCCAGAAACTGTCAGGATGTCGAGTCCCCCGTGGCTTCACTGCAAACGTTTGCCTCGAGCAGGCGCTGATAGTCCTGAGGCCTGAAGCGCTGTAGGTATACCATGAGCTTGGCAGGTGCCGTCTCCTGCGCTGGCACTCCTGCAGGCAAGGGGACAACAAGGGAAGAAACAGATGCAACCACTGAACACGCTTTCACTTGCTCCCTGCCCACCCAGCCGGGACTCCAAAGTTTGCAGAACAGTACTAAGAATCCAGATGCCACCCAAGCAGCCTCTCTAAGTCACCCGCTCTGCAGGTGGCCTGCAGTGGGGTGAGCCCCAAGATTTACTCGCTTGTGTGGCTGGAAAGCCATGCCTGAGCCTCTCCAGCAATGAGAAATGCTGGGGAGGCACCCTGTGCCACCAAGACAGGGGAGCCAACCCATTTCACATATCACCCTTCTCTCCCATCAAGAGTCATGCCCATCTAGGCAAGCCCAAGCTCGTTAGCTTGGTGATGACGCACATGCAGGGAAGTAAAGAAAAGAACCAAACGCTATGGAAAATGAAGAAGAGCAGGAACTGTGGAGTGACATTCACAGCATCTCGTTTCTAACCACCGGCTGCCAGTGTTGAGAATGGGAATCACATGGGCATGCTGACCCACAGCCGGAAACTAATGCCATGTGTGGGTTCTAAGGAGGTTCAGTCCCCTAGGGCTGTCCAGACCTGTGGGGTGCACAAACCCTGAAATGTGGGGTCAAGCTGTCTGTGTCAGAGCAAAGCATGGAAACAGAAAAATCTGCCATGTACCCCCCCACTAACCCCCCCACAAATATAATGTTTTTGTCTTTATTCCAAGCCAAAAGCACAGTCCAGAGAGTGTGGCTACCTCCACCTGTAATCCCAGCACTGGGGTGGATCACAAGTTTAAGGCCTTACCTGGACTACACAGAGGACGGAAGAAAAAGCCAGTGAGGATATAGGAAGTTCAAAGAGAAAATGGAAGTTTATGGAAAGGCCTGATACACAGAACTAGAGGAATTAAATGAGGTGATAACGAGGATAAAGACTGGAGACAAGAATTAAATCCAAATTAGCTACTATGGAATAGAAAGCCATTTTACAGACGTGAAAACAAACTGGACCTTTGAGAAAGTCGCCACAAAAAAGTTCCCTTATAAAAATGATTCCGACTCCCCACTACTCTATGGCTCGGTGGCGGGAACGGGGGGGGCGTAGTCGCCAGTGAGGTTAAATGAGAAGTAGGGGTGGCATCAAAGAGCCTGTCTCCCTCACCAAGCATGGTGCTGAAGCTGAAGATCTTCTCTAGGGCAGCTGCTACTTGAGCCTTCTCCCGCACCATGACCTCCACCTCACCCACAGCATAGCCGAAGTCTGTTGAATCCAAATCCACTCTGAGCTTCGGCTCCTCTTCACTGGCTCCAGATAAGGCCAGCATCCAGGAACTTCGCGTAGTCACGAAACTAGCTACTTCCTGCAGCTTCAGGGAACCCAAGACAGCAGCCACACCTGCAGTCCCAGGCTCCTCAGCCCCGAGCAGTACAAACAGCTGGGCCACAATGGCAGGCTCCGATGTGAGCTCCACATACTCGTTGTGGGATCCTGAGATACCTGCTACTCCAGGGCATTTGAGCTCCCATCCACTACCTTCTCGTTGTCGCAGCCAGTGATCAGACCGCATAAGGCTTAGCTCAGAAGTATCATAGTAGATGTCTTGGAAGGTGACCCGGTGCTCCAGGGTGCCCCCCAACTCCTGCAGCCTTTCTTCCGTGTCAGGCCCTGGAGTAAACTTTCGCTCCACTTCGATCAAGCCCTGGGCCATGTTACCTGCAACACACGTTGGCAAAATATTCACTGCGTGCTCAAGGGTACGATTAGTCAGCAGAGACCCCCCCCCTTAGTCCTGGATGAATTTAAGAGGCACGCACATACACTGTCTCAGAGCTCTGCCTCAGTGACACAGGGTTCTACTTCGAGATTTCAGCGTGCTGCAATGATAACAGGTCTCCAGTTAAATCCTAGTACTGATAATGTCTTAACCCAAAAGGCTCGCTAGAAAGCAGGCCCGGATGCTGATGACCTTTCCACATCTCTCTACACCTTGCCACCCAGGCCAGTGGTTCAGTGCTCGGAGTGTCCTGTCATTCTTCGCACAGCACCGACCAGCTGAACCTCAGAATTCTCTTCAAGACCCGAGGGTCTCCCTCTCCAGGGACCCGGAAATGGAGGAAGGGAACCCACGCTACACCCGCGAGGAATGCCGGGAGCAGTCTCCGGCTCCGGACCTTGGCCCTGGCTCTTTACGCGCGGGTCCGGACCTAGCACCAGCGGCCATATTAGACCGGTGTAGCGGTGCCGATGACAAGCTAAGCCCGAGAGGTCTGTTAGGTTACGTGCGACCCAACCCGGTAGGCAAGAGGAGCGAGACCATCCTCTCGCCCGCTGCTCATCCTGGATCCTTCCTGGAGCCGGGTCATGGGCCAAGATCTCGAGCCTCAACGTGAGCCTGGCACCCTGGGCCTGATGCATGATGGGAGATGTAGTTCCAAAGGGCCTCCTCACCTTTCATGCCCACCCGTCGCTATGGTGATCAGAAACATGCAATTAGAGTTAACCAGCGGGGCTCTACCTGAAGCTTAACAGGAGGGGATTGGGGGTTGGCTAAAGTGAAGAGGAGAAAGCAAGGAGCTTAGACTCCAGTCCCCAACCCCTCCCAACGTAGACTGTGGGTGGGCCGGATAAAAGACACAGTCACTCAGATACTGCAGTTTATGGCAGCCCACTAAGGGCTGGTCAGTAGCGATGGTCTGGCACGTGAGTGGAGTAATTCAGTTTAGCCACCTGGAATGTTTTTATGATTTTATTTTATTTTATTATTTTATTTGATACAAGGATCTCATGTAGCCCAAACTAACCTGGAATTTCTGATCCCCCTTAGAGTGAGTGCTGGGTTACATGTGTGAGCCACAATGCCCTACCTCTATCCCGGAATTTTAGAAGGGATCTAATACAAAATGGTACAAATGTTTAGGATAAAGGTGAGTGGGAAACTTTCTATTTCTATTCAAAAGTGATATTTTGAATGTGATAGAGATGTGATGGAGGAGCTGAGGCGATGGTTCGGCACTTAAGTACACTTGCTGTTCTTAATAGAGGGCTGGAATTACCTTCCCAGCACTTATATGGCGGATCACAGCCTCTATAACACAGTTACAGGGGGATCTGACGCCCTCTTCTGGACTCCTCGAGTACTACAGACAGAACACTGAAATTTTTTTTTTAATTAATTTAATTCTAGAAGAGGAGGAGAAGAAGAGGATGTAATGGGATTTTGATTGTTGGAGACCTGGGTAGAAGTAATTGCCTGAATAAAAGGACCAAAAGCTAGCTACAGCACCTAGTCAGTATCAAAGCAGACAATGGCTTGAAGTACAGTTGAGTGGCAGCTTGAAAAAAAGCCATGAGTGAGTGCCAGACTAAGCTGTCCATTTCCAGCAGTCCGTGAGCACACACATCTGTACAGGCACACATCTGTACAGGCGCACATCTGTGCAGGCACACATCTGTACAGGCACACATCTGTGCAGGCACACATCTGTACAGGCGCACATCTGTGCAGGCACACATCTGTACAGGCACACATCTGTGCAGGCACACATCTGTGCAGGCGCACATCTGTGCAGGCGCACATCTGTGCAGGCACACATCTGTGCAGGCGCACATCTGTAATGCCAGCATCTGGGACGGCTGAGGCAAAAGGATCACAGCTTGAGGTGAGTCTGAGCTACAGACTGATTTCCAGGCCATGCTGGGCTAAGGGCAAGACCTTGTCTGGAAAAGACAAACACAAAAACAAAAATAAACACAGACAGACATGGGAATTACTCTCTGTTTGCTTTTGGAACCTGAGACGGGTCCTTAACCTTACCCTAATACTGTAGTGTATTTGTAGACCTTAATTTTGTCTCTGCCTCTGAGCGAAGACACTGCTAACTTCTAGATTTGCTTCCGTGATAAGTGTCAAGTGCGACACCTGTTCCCTTATGTCTCTAGAAACAACCGGGGAGGAATTATGGGAAGGTCCCTGGTTTACAAGCATGGCATTTTGAACATGGGATGGCATTACACAAACTGCTACTTCTGGTCTACTGGGTTGGATCTTATAGAATACAGAAAATACCAGTGCTTTCTGGGTCAACAAAACTGAAAAGGAAAGTCAAAGAACTGAGTGGGAAGGAAACACCCCCAGACCCCAACTCTTCTCTTTAGCTTGAAGCTCATCTGTTGTTTACTGGACTCCAGAAAACTCAAAGTCGACTCTGCTTCACTTCTAGACCATTGCCGCTCCACCTCCCCAAGTCTGCTTTTTCAGTGTTCTGCCTCACAATTAAAAGAGGGTTGAAGATTCATTAGCAAACTCAACTGTTACATGGTAGAAACTCAAGATAATGGTTTCTTTCCCACCCTCAATTTCAGGAGTTTCTGCGATTGTTGTCCTTTAAGAAAAATATGCCCTATTCAGCTAGTTTAAGCTCTGGAATCAGACCACTGACGTTTGCATAATGGTACTATTGTTTTTTGGCCATGCATTCTTGAACTGGTAAGACTTGGTTTCCTCTACTCTAAAATGAACTCCTGTATACTCCGCTTTAGAATCTTAGAAATTGATGGGCTGACAAGCTGAAGAGAAGGAACCAGAGCCTTCCCCTCTCCCTACCCAATCGAGGGAGTGCAACTGAGTTGAGAAGACAGCCACCCTGGGAGACGTCAAAGTAATTGTTATGAAAGAGAAGGTTCTAGTAGTCAAAAGGGAACCGATACGGCTAGAAAGGGATGAAACAATGATGGATCTCCGACGGTTCTGGGCAGCTTACAGAAAACAGCTTGCTCTAACAGTGATTTAAAACAACACACTTATGGCTTGTGTAAGCAGGATAAAAGAGGAGGGGACGAGTGTTAAAAGGAACGTGCCCTTTCTGCAGGAATAGGGCAGACTCAGCGCCTGAGTCAGGGCGGAAGTCGGGTGGCAAGGTTGGCCGGCCCCGCCCCTAAGATCCTGGCCCCTGCCCAGGTCTTTGCCTCCTGGGACAGGGGGCTGACTTGGCGCTAGCCGTCTATAGAGGGCGGAGGCCTGTAGACTACAGCTCCCGGCATGCACCGCGGCGGGCGGGTCGCTGCACCTGCTCAGTGGGGCTGCCCCGGGCGCCTGGGTATTGATTATTCCATTGTGTGGGACGCCTCGGCTCCAGCCAGTGAATGAGGCGGAGGAGTGAGGGCTAGAAGGAGGAGGGCGAGGAGGAGGAGGAGACAGGGAGCAAGCCAGTGCCCAGGGTGAATCAATGGAAACCCACTCACGAAGCCGGGAAAACACTTCAGCCGCAGCCAAATAGCATTGATTATTTTCTTTCACTTCCCTCACCGCCGTGAATTTATTTATTTTTCCATCTCCGTCCCCGACGCCCCGGAGCGAGCGCTGAAGGGAGGGAGGAGGAGGGGCAAAAAGGAATCAACACATCGGAGAAGTCCCTTCCAAGAGCCGCCCCCTCCCCTCCCCGCCTCGCGCTGCTTGGCGGCCGCGGTTCGACTCCCGTCCCTGCTTCCAGCTGAGGTGTAAGTGCATCGATTTCCGATGCTGCTGGGTTGGGTTTTTTTTTTTTTCCTTTTCCTTTTTTTTTTTTTTTTCCTTCCTCTGCCTCTCACTCTCCTTCCCTTCCATGCTCTTCCGAATCTCGAGATCGAGGAGAGAGGAGGCGCTGGGAGACTGCTACTGGAGGGGACGGAGAGGGACGGGAAGGGGCTGGGGGAGGGGACGCGGACGGACAGACAGCCGGGACGAAGAGGACAGGAGTGTAGGGGAGAAAGGGCGTGCGAGCCGGAATGGGGAAGAGAGGTAGGGGTGGGGAAATGGAGAAGAGAAAGATATGGGCCAGCGGGACGGAAAGAGGGTAGTGAGAGCCTAGACGTACCGCGCCGAGCTGTACCAGGAGCGGGGTTCCTGGAGGGAATGGGAGGCTGGGTGAGTGCAAGGGCTCTGAGCTGTAGCCGGGAGGGGCCTGCGGCGCAGAGGAGCTCAGCTGGCTGCGGGATGGGGGAGAAACCCGGGCGGGAAGGCTGATGGATGGGCTAGCGCGCCGGGGTGCTGGGTGGAAGGGGGAGTGGATACCTTTAATGTTCATTTTTGCCTGAAGTAGGTGAGGGGAGCCCCATTCACAGTGAAGCGTGCCTGCCCTGCTTCTCCTGCTACCCCGACTCGCCATCCGCTCTCCTATGCCCCTCATCATTTTTTGAGCTCTGGACCACGCTTCTCACTGTGCCTGCGTCCCCACTGATCTGTGGTTGTGCCATTTTTCACTTTGCTCCCCACCCCATCTATATTCAGTTCCGTGTGTCACTGTCTTGACTTTGACACTTCTCATCCGAGTGATCCTTACCACATATATACCCCTGTCCCTATGTGTCACGCCTAGACTGACTGACTGGTCGGCCATCCTCGGCTCTCCTTCAGGGTCTGTGTGCACAACGGTGGCCTTTTCAGCTACTTTGGAGTTTGCTTATCAGCCATGATTGTGGTAGTCTGAAAAGTAGGGGATGGAGGGAATGTGTCTACCCCTGATGACTCCAGTGCCCTTTCAGCGTGGGCATGACAGCTTTCTGCTCGCCTTCAGCAGGGAAGCCTTGGAACTTCTGACATTGTTGATCACCTCGTTTGCCATGTGCCTTTGGGTCTCCAGTGTGTCCTCTGCCTTTCCAGGAGCTTTCCACCACAAGCCTCCTCCTTGCTGACTTCATTTTCCTCCCTTCCCCCACTCTACCATTGTATATATATTTTTATCCCCCCAGTTTATCTCACCCTGTTGTCATATCCTTTTATCTGATGAATTCCCTTGCATAGTCTCCATCTTTGTTCCCTGTTCTCCTTAGTCTACCAAAGTTGGGTTGTGTTTGTTTGTTTGTTTGTTGTTTTTTAATCCCTTATCCTGTCACCCAGCGTTTTAACCCTAGCAGCAGCAGATGCCACGAGCAAAGGGCTGATTGAGAGATGGGGGTTATGTTTTGTGAAGGAACATAAAAAGGCCAAGAAATCAATTTAATGGGCTTCCAGGGGCGTGTAACTCCTTCATCAATCAGTTCCATTATGTCAGCTCACTGTCAACTTTAATTTTGTAAGGGGATGTTCTTTAGCTCCACCCCACCTGACTGCCCCCAGCCTTCAGTTCGGTCCAGATAGAGTGGCCTTTTCTTCACTTTTTAGTTCATTTTCCTCATGGGATCCTGCTAT